GCGTGTTTTATTATAATTTCTTTATCAACCCATTACGATCCAATGTTGCTTTTCTCTCCTGTCGAACAATATAGAATTTTAGAATAACCAGTAACATTGTTACTGACAGGATCAGTAATATGGTGTATTCTGTTTCAATAACCAGTAACATTGTTACTGACAGGATCAGTAATATGGTGTATTCTGTTTCTATAACCAGTAACATTGTTACTGACGGGATCAGTAATAAGGTGTATTCTGTTTCAATAACCAGTAACATTGTTACTGACGGGATCAGTAATATGGTGTATTCTGTTTCAATAACCAGTAACATTGTTACTGACGGGATCAGTAATATGGTGTATTCTGTTTCTATAACCAGTAACATTGTTACTGACGGGATCAGTAATATGGTGTATTCTGTTTCAATAACCAGTAACATTGTTACTGACGGGATCAGTAATACGGTGTATTCTGTTTCTATAACCAGTAACATTGTTACTGACGGGATCAGTAATATGGTGTATTCTGTTTCATAACCAGTAACATTGTTACTGACAGGATCAGTAATACGATGTATTCTGTTTCTATAACCAGTAACATTGTTACTGACGGGATCAGTAATATGGTGTATTCTGTTTCATTAACCAGTTATAATGTTGCTGATCTCTGTATAATACATATATATATATATATTAATCACAAACGAAGCTTTTTGACTATATACTGCTGAATATCCAGCCAATAAGAACTAGACCCCATATTCATGAACAATAAAACTGTTTCCGAACGTTGAATATTTTGAAAGAAAGAATGTTCCAGAAGTAAAGTTAAAACAATTTATCCTGTTGATAAGTAGTATAACACTCAATACACGACGTGTCATAAAGAGTTGTATATCTCAGTATAACACTCAATACAAGATGTGTTAGAAAGAGTTGTATATCTCAGTATAACACTCAATACACGACGTGTTAGAAAGGGTTGTATATCTCAGTATAACACTCAATACACGACGTGTTAGAAAGGGTTGTATATCTCAGTATAACACTCAATACACGACGTGTTAGAAAGGGTTGTATATCTCAGTATAACCCTCAATACACGACGTGTTAGAAAGGGTTGTATATCTCAGTATAACACTCAATACACGACTCTGTATCAACTTGCTATGTTATGTAGGTGCCCTAACTTTCTTTCAAAACTAAAATTACTAGTAACACCCGAATTAAAACCTCTTAAATCTTGGTATTTCTTAAAATTACATCATTTGATGACCAATTTCTTAACACTTACGCTAGCAACTTCTCTAACGTGAATTTTAATTTTCATGATACACATAAACGTTGCTATGCTCACGTTGCTAGGCCTTGCTATACTTTATTTTCACAAAGTTGTTGATTGTTTTATAACATTAATATTGAAAAATCTGGTGTTAGCTTTTCTTTAATATGAAACAGCACAGTTACGAGGACGTTAAACAAAGTTAAACTTTAATTTTGCTGGATTTTACTTTATTTTTAATAGAGTTTACAGTTTACATCTGTTACGACTTTGTTTATATTGCCATCACTAAGTACATTAGTGCCATCTAGTGAGTAGAATTAAAGTTGTAATGGCAACCTATGGCTAAATAATTATTTTAACAATAAGAAGAGAAAAATATGCATACTTATTTTATAAGAGTTTATTTTTTGCACATTATTAATAACAACTAGATATAAAATAACATTAACAGCAAATATTGGTTCTGTCCTTATATACATTCCTACCGTGGGCTTACGACC